GGCTTTTTCTATTACTTCAGCTATCGTGCCTTTGTTACATCTTTCAATCTTCACTGCAGAAGATACTTGCGCAAATTTTCCAACCACGACCTGCACATGAAAGGTAGTTTTATGCAATGAAATGAGTTCTATACCATAGTATCCTTGGAGCGGCGCTTTGAACAGGTATCATAAGCGTGACTTGTTTTCAAAATCAATCCGTACGTTCCTCCAATCAACAACTTTAGACAAAACCTTCTATTAACTGAAAGTTGCAAATCCATCTCCACTCATTATCTTCAGTAATGGAAAGCAGTCTCCTCGAAGAACTATACTCACCGTCAATCCCTAAGTTACATTTGCAATGTGGAGTGGTGTGGTGCGGCCGCATCGCTTTGGGCTTGCGCCACGTTGCGAGCGTATCGCTTAAACGTGATGTGGCCGAAAGCGATGCGGCCGCACCACACCACTCCACATTGCAAATGTAACTTAGGGATTGACGGCGAGGGTAAGGCGAAAAGATGGCACTGTCGAAAGTGACTGTGAATCTGAATTAAAAGATGGCTGGTTTTTTTGTGAAGCTAGCTGGGGTTGGGATCTATCACTGTCGAAACGGTAAGGAACTCAAAGTATACTCCGGTAGCAGCCGATATTTGGCTGAACAACAAAAGCATAAAAGAAGCCGCGGCGATGGTACCAGTGTAAGCTATGCTGGTAGATCAATCACATTCAGCACTACTGGGCTGCAAAAAACATAGAAAGGAGTGCGGCAATCGTCATTGTTTTCAGTTAACAAGGGAAGGTCATAAACTTGAAGTGACCGATCTCTGTAAACTTTATACATTAGTGAGAGCATGAAACGTAAATTCTAAATTCGCTCTCCTATCTGCAGACTTTTCTGGAAAAGAAGTTAAGAGCATTTTTTGAAAAAAATGAACTAATGTCCGGGACATAATCAATCGTTACAGTCTTTCTAGATGTCAAATGAAACAATATAAAGTTCTTATACACTAAGCAGAAAGCACAATGTATCATGACACTTGTCACAGCCTCCAAACTTTGGATAGGCTATAACGATTGATTTCTAAGCAGCCAATAGCTCATTTTTTTTTCAAAAAATGCACATAACTCCTTCCCAGAAGACTCTGCAGATGAATTAAGTAGAGTTGGATCCAGCGTTTCAAGCTCTCACTAATAGTATGCAATGCCGTTTGACTTCTTGAACTTCTTCGTAAGTGTATGTTCACTAATTCTTCCAAGCGCTTTCTCTTAAAGCAATATCACAATACGGCAATTCTTTGCCTTTCTTTGCACTAGTCAAATCTTTCAGAGGCCGACCCTCGGATAACAGTTTTTATCTATTCACCGTTGTTGCCAGCAAACTTTGGGTGGAGTGCTAGTGGGATGTGGCTGCAAGAATATGTGGAGTGAGTTACTGCAAAGACTGATTGTCAGTTTCCTTGTATCCTTGTTACTCATTCCTTCTTCTTGATTCTTTCTTTCTGCCAACTATTTTTCGCCTCTTCAACTGTTCTAGAATTTTCTTTCCTGTTGGAAGATCCGCCCGAGTGAAACCTTGATTGGAAAGGGGTCATTACATAGAAGACGTCAAAGTGACCCCAAGTTCACACGCCACACAGTGGCATCCAAGTGTGAGCAATAAATAATCAAAAGTCATTGTTTGCTTTATTGTTATGGCTGCAGTTTGCTTTTATATCATCATTGTACCCCCTATACATAGTCGCTACTTTCGGCAGTCGCCGAGAAAGCCTGACAGAAAATGCCCCAAACTTACATCTCCAGTATTCATGCAATTCTTGTATTGCTCGTAACTTTATAGGTGCTCCTATAATAAAAGTTTAAATGCCCAAGTTTAGAGCGATTGACGGCACGCCAATTCCGTGTTCAGTTTGAAATGCCATTCACCCTAAAAATATGGGTATACTTGTGAAATTAACCTTTTGAACTTCAAAAAAAGCAAAACAAGGTTCTCTAAAAGCCGTCAAGCACAGCTACGCGACCCACTATTGGCTTCACCATGAATAAAGCTCGAAGCATGGTCAGCCACTTTTATGAGTACCATTGTAACTATGTTCGCTCATGAGCACTTGTAAGATATGTTTATGAGCGAACTCAGTTATATTGTGAGTTCTGAGTGTATTCTGTAAGTTCCTTAACGAGCGGGAAGGCCCAATTCATTGAACTCGGCAATCACGAATTTTAGATCGGTTTCGTAGATTAAGCCTACGCAATGAAAACTACGTTATGAAATCGATTGGTAATCTGAGGCCAACTTATCCGACAACATACATAGAGTAAAATTTTCAAGGATTTGCACTTTATGGCAATCATGGGTAATGTTGCACATGAAGTGGATCGATTGTCTGTGCACTATAAACAAGCTTCTGTTTGACTGTTTGCAGTTGGTTGCAAATTTTCTGCAACAAAGAACGGCAGAATACATGGTTTCATTGCGCATTCTCGAATCATTGGCACAATGGATGAGTAAAGCAGAAAGGTTGTCTATATCTTAGACGAGAGCAACATGTGACGTGTAAATGAAATATCCGCCAACACCAGATTTTAATAGAGTGAAGATCCTTAGAAGCGAGTTTATGCAAACCTTTTTGCTTCAATAAAAGAAAAACTGAGTTTTTTAAGTAGTAGAGTCTAGTGTAAGACTTGTTTCAGGAGAAAAAGAGTCAAGACGGTGCATGCGAGCAGGATCGCCTTCGGAAAACGAGGATAGATTAATAGATTATGATCAACTAGCTGGCTTACCCGGCTCCGCCGTATGTTCCAAATAGAAAATTCCATTTCTTAACCGATCCGGACCAAACTTGACACACATACACTTCGGGCCCCGGCGGGTGTCACAGTCCACTTTTCGCCATCGATCGATGTTGATTTTATCGATTTTTTGCAAAATTTGAGCTAGGGGGCTGGAATTTGGCAGGGGGGTGTAATCGAGCATGCTGATCACCCCCGCGGGGGTGATCAGCATGCTCGATTACCCCCCTGTGCCAACTCCCAGTCCCGTAGCTCAAATTTTGCAAAAAATCGATAAAATCGATATCGATCGATGACGAAAAGTAGCCTATGACACCCGCCGGGGCCCAAAGTGTATGTGTGCCAAGTGTGGTCCCGATCGGTTCAGAAATGGAATTTTCTATTCGGAACATACGTACAGACAGACAGACAGACATACAGACATACAGACAGACAGACAAACAGACATTCAGCTATATATATAAGATTTACTCTGGAAAGCATTGGATATGAAGCAACCTGCGAAAAGCAAGTTGACTGATGTTGAAGCCTTTCTTTCCAGTTTCTATAGTTAACGGCTCTCTGTTGAGCTTTGGAGTTTTTCATTTCATGTTGTGCTTACTCTATTGTAAACAGGGAGTAGTCAGAACTCAACACAGCCATACCAAACAAGTTGACAACTGTATATCATCGGACCCGTCTTGAAACGCTAATCTCTGGCCCGTAGCAAAGCTCGATCATCAGGTGAACTAAACTTAACCCACCAGTTGAGCTTATGTTAGGTGAAATGATGACCGCCCACTTCTCACGCTATAAGCATGGCAAGTGAACTGACAATTAGCCATCCGTTCACTTGAGCTGAACGTGAACTGATGTTAGACGAATGCAAATAGTGTGGAAAAGAGGAGACGCAGAGAAGATTCCCGTAAGTTGCTCCTGAGTATTTTAAGATACACATCAATTTGCCTAACACTCGGACAAAATCGGCGCAAAACTGCACAATACTACGGCCTGGGAGAGAATCATGACCAGCTGATTTTGGCGTGGAAAGGAAAAAAAACAGATTCTTTTCTTTTTTGTGAAATTTGTTGAGTTTTTTTTTTGAATAGCTGCTCGAGAAAAGAAATTATTGATTTAATTTATTTAGTTCATATCGCAACCATTCCATTTTTTCATGAAATTTCCGCCAAAAAATGTTTCTGTTTTATTCATGTGTGTGCTAGGCGAAATCCTTGATAGCGGTCACATCGATTTTGCGATAGTGGCCGCTATCAATGACGCTAGGCGATACAGCAAAGATGAGGCTCTAGTCGGTGTTGAACCGTGGCCGCGGTCGTGCAATTCCAATCGCTTACCTGTGCGACCAAACTGACTCAAGTGGTTCTTTTTTTTTAGGAACACACATGATTGTCATGATTGGAAAGCGATCCGCATCCAGATCAATAGCTTACTGGATGCTGAACTGAGGCGCCATACGTTCAACGTAGGGCCGCACCAGTCGAGTTGCACTGAGGGGGGTTTACCACGGGCCTCTGTGTTATTACCTGCCGAACAATTATCTGAAATAGTTATGAGCTTATGAATGTGAATTTCGCTAAGTGTTCTAGCTCATGGTTCCATGGAATATTTTTAAAGATTTTTATTTGGGTTTTTGTATTTGTTCTTCCTCCTTGCAATTAGAGTACCCAGAGTCACTGTAAAACCGCGCCATCAAGCTGCTCTTCAACGAACTATATCCATCGAAACTTGAGTAACTTTTCATATTTTGACGCCCATAACTCCTTTGATAATCTTTTGGCAGACAATGATTATATAAGTATATATATTTAAAGTTAGCATTTTGAGGCTAGTCCGATGGGTATACAGATTGTTTGGAATGGCTGGGCTAAGTTCTGACCATTTCCTTGTAAGCTTTTGAACTTTAGTCAGGCAACGGTTACGTGACTCCGAAAATGTTAATGTTTTGCAAACATCTCCACTCAACGCAAAAATTTGGAAGTTCATTTGTTGACTCTAGAGACAATCAGCTTAAAGTAGCCTGAAAATCAAAGCGCATATTTTCATGTTTTGTTTTTGTTTTTGTTTTTGTTTTTGTTGATGTTTTTGTTTGTAGGTGATGGTGATCTCTTTTCAGAATAAAGTTTACCAAAAATTGCAAAACTGTGACTGGGAAGCAGCTTTGGTGAAAGAGCTATAGAGGAAATGAAAGTTTCCAAAAACATTTATTTCGTAAAGTTACTCTAAAACTTCACGAGAAATCTACGAAACAAGTCAGTGTACTTGAACTATGGCTCCTTCAAAACAACAATCTGAAAAGAATGTTTCTGGAAAAAAACACCATGCGCTATGAGCACCTTTATCCAACTGGCAGAGTCTCTGGGTCTTGAATCCGAGCGGTAGCTTTGTAATCAGCTTCTGAAATACACTTGTAATGTGTTTCCTATAAAAATGCAGCTTTGTAGAATTTGTTCACTAACCATTATCGTCTCCAAACACTTCTACTCCTTCCATGGTAACATTCGTTTCTGATGGTCCTTCCGAGTAGTATGAATACTCAAACTGTTCCTCTTCTATTTCACTGGGTGTTTTCAGTTCCCCTAAATCGCCTAAACCTTAGCCTATTTGTAGAAATCACACCTAATCAAGTGGATTTCTGACCTGAGCCAAGATAATTCACGCAGGAGCCAAAATCTACAACAGGTTGAAGCTTTGCTTCCGATAGCTTGTGCATACATTCGATGGAGTCCATGACTCGTGTTCCACCCACATATAAAGACGTCGGCACTAAACTAACAATTAGCACTGAAGCTATAAATCTGCATTGAAAATACAGCGCTTGCCTTCAACTTCGGTTTCTGAGTTGGGCATACTGTACCATGACACGCTTCCCCCCACCGCAGTGCTCATAGGTGACGCTCCAGCAATAATATCGTCTGAAAGTGTTTTCTGTTCCCATAAAAGGAGGTTTATATCACGTGAGTTTGAAGACAGTGTCGAATTCCAAAATCATTTTCAATAGGAAATGACTGCCCGGCCGGGTTGGGCGCCCGACCCGTAAGGCTTTGGCCATACTTTGCCAGTGTTGCCGGTGTTGAAAGTGTTGAATGGAGATCATCAGTCTAGCAGTTTCATTCTTTCTCAAACGATCTCACCGGCTGGTGAATACGTTGGAAATGGAATTGGGGAATGAGAAATGAAATTGAAGTGAGATGGGGAAGATTTTTGCACGTAAAAGATCCTCAAACAAACTTTTTGGAAAGTGGATGGCTTGTCTGGAATAGGCAATCTCCAATGTTTGAAAAAGCTGAAGTCTGAGTAGTAATGTGTTTTAGTTCGAATCCTGCCGCGCTTGCGATTATTGAGTGAAGGATCTAGGAGTAAGTGAGGTCTGCAGCGTTTTCGAATATTGGAGATTGCCTATTCCAGACAAGCCATCCGCTTTCCGAAAAGTTTGTTTGAGGATCTTTTGTATGCGAAAATCTTCCCCATCTCATTTCAATTTCATTTCTCATTCCCCAATTCCATTTCCAACGTATTCACCAGCCGGTGAGATCGTTCGAGAAAGAATGAAACTGCTAGACTGATGATCTCCATTCAACACTTTCAACACTAGCAACACTTTCAACATTTTCAACACCGGCAACACTTTCAACACTTTCAACACCGGCAACACTTTCAACACCGGCAACACTGGCAAAGTATGGCCAAAGCCTAATGTATGATTTCTATTGAAAATGATCGCCCGCTTTCAAAACGGGAAGATGTATACCGCCCCTGATAACCTCTCATTGGACGCTTTGAATGGCGACTGTCTATAAGGGCAACGTCTAGGCAGGCTTGGGAAAATGTGTTTTTCACGGGAAAAGTTAAGCCAGCTCGAATCGCCCTCAAATCTCAAAAAAGTGCACACCTTATACCCAAACATTATGGTTTAATTGAACAAGCCTCTGCAAGCTGTTAGACTTCTGTGGGTCGCCATAAGGACCGGGCATACTTCACACGATTTCAGTCGCGATGTGATTTGGCAATTTGCCAGAAGTCTTCAGATCCAACAGCAGCAAACTGCACATGCAGAGTGTATACATAACTTGCCTGGATTGACAAAATGCCCCACCTTCTGTACACTCGAAATGTGCTTACAGTGAGAGGACAGTTGGAATATTGCAAAATCGTGTAAAGTATGCCCGGCCCTATACTTCACTAGTAATACTGGTGTTAGGCCCCGGACAGACTTCACGCAATTTGATCGTCGCGACTCAATCGCCGACATTTCCATTCATTTTCATTCCACATTCAAAAATTTCGGGCTGGAAAAGTATCACAACCGAAATGCAAGTTGATCGGCATGGAATGATGTTGTAACAGTTGTCTCGTCGCGATTCACTCGCGACGACCAAATTGCGTGAAGTCTGTCCGGGGCCTTACACTGTTGCCATTGTTCATTGCAACCACCTTTACCGCTTTAGCGTTGCTCCTTTTTTGCATGAATTACCGACCTTACTGTTTCATTCATCCACTGTCGGTTTATCCATTCGGTGGATATGTTAATTTTATTTGGGGCTAGCAAAAACAAACCCGTAGTTACCAAGAGACCGTACGAAAACAAATGTTGCGCTGCCGATCATTCATTCGAAAATCAACATCAGTAAGAACGGTTGCAGTGAACAACGGTAACACTAGTGACTGCAACATGTAGTAACCGTAACACTGAAAACATGAACACCGGTGACCGCGTTGGAAATACAGTCGAGTCTTAAACACGCTACAAACTCACATTCAATCTCCACATTTGTTTCGCTCGGTGGTGGCGTGTACTCCGAATAAATAGAAATTTCCGAAAGCGCTGTGTCTGCGTCTATGTGCGACACTGTAACAAATTATGCGCTGCCCGTTCTGCTATGCTATGCTACTCTGACATGCCGTCTTAAGATCTTCTTCTGCTTTCTGAAGCTTTGATTCAAGGTATGGAGCTGTACTGTGGGTTTCCTCAAGTTCAGACATCCTTGGATAATCTAAAAAAAAACATCTCGCTGCGTAGAAATCGGGGTCAAGTCTTACTTAGACTTTCGTCCCCGCTCGATTCTGAGCTCTCTTTAACGTTTATGGCGCCGATGTTCTCCACTAAATGTATGGATTATGATCTCCAAAAAATATTATAATTTACGACTAACTTGCGTCCCAATACTTCAAATTATAGTCAGGTTCATCCATAACGGAACTTTCATACTCTGAACGAATTTATTTGTCACTTTGGGTATTATGCTCAATAAATCATTCTACCCGACTCTTCGACATCGACGAAACTTGCCGTAGGTGCCAACGAATACAGCGACAAAGTTGTTTCAGTGGTATCATCTGAATGATTCCATCACCCAAGCACCAGTGCAGTCGGTACAGATACCGTAGTCGAACTCTTCATCCACTTTCCGCGTCTCCATGGCAATCGGCACGACGCTACTCGACAGTACTACAACAAAAAATGAACTTTACTCTGCCACCTGGCTCTATTATGACTTTTCGGTGTTTGTAAAAAACATGCAGACATGTTAGTAGCTGTGAAACAGTTGAAATATTGAGACGAAATGGATTTATGGAGCTTTCATTTATCACCACTTTTGTCATCTAAAATGGCCATAGATAGGTCAAATCAAACGTTATATGCCGGGATGGGCTTGGGATGGGCTTAAGTTGACAAATTTTTCAAAGACCTTTATAGTTCTCACTCTATCAGACATTTGGTGGACGATATCAAACGGAACTCGAGCAAACTGGCTGCGTAGAGCACCCTCCTGAGCAGCCTAAACTTTGAGGCCATGGAGATTTCTAGTCGTTTGCCTTCTGTTACAAAATCTTGACTTGGACCAGTCAACATTCAGATAAAATCACGGGTGCTTGTCATTTGTAGTATACCAAAGTAGCTGTAGGCATCGATGGCCAAGCATGTTTTTAGTGTCTTTCCTTTGGTATCAGATTCCTTAGAGACTTGCCGACATTTTTCTTGATAAAATCAGGTATACTGCTATTTATTAGATTGTCCCATAAGTCTTTTCATTTTTGAGTTTTCGCTGTAATAAGTCATACAGTTCTTATTCAAAATAGACAAGGATACCATTCGATAGAGCAAAGCAAGCTCTATAAGATGGCATTTATGCTTTTGCACCAGCTTCGATCCATCTCAATTTTAAAAACAAAATCTGGAAAATTTCGGATGCCCAGAGAATTGGAAATTCTTTATATCTTCGTTCAGAAAAGTCCTACAGATTTCCTACTCGCTCACGCATATACACCTCACATCAAACACCCATAAGTGCTATTGCCTTTTTTTATTAGCTAGAAATCAAGGGACCGAAAATTTTTATGCTTTTACAAAAGTGATGTTGCGCTTTTCTTACACTAACAGTTGCATTCTGGGATCCTTAGAAGTATAACCGCAAATTTTTAGCTCGCTGTAAGCTATAGTTCCCGAGAAATGTCGATTTTAGCTTTCCCCACTCGGATTTTGTATGCGTAACTCAACATTTCTAGGAAACCAAAGCTTATAGACAGCTAGAAATATACGGCTGCACTTCTAAGGGTTTGTAGTATACAACTGTTAGTGTAAGAACAGCGCAGCATCACTTTGGTAAAAACATGGAAATTTTCGGTTTCTTGATTTCTAGCTAACAAAAAAATACCGCAATAGCATGAGTGTTTGATGTGGAGTGTATATGCGTGAGCGAGTAGGATATCTGTAGAACTTTTCTGAACGAATATAAAGAATTTCCAATTTTCTGGGCATCCGAAACTTTCTAGATTTTGGTTTTAAACTTGAAGTGGATCGAAGCTGGTGCAAAAGCATAAATGCCATCTTACAGATCTTGCTTTGCTCTGTCGAATAGTATCCTAGTGCCTATTTTGAGTAATGACTGTATGACTTATTACAACGAAAACTCAAAAATGAAAAGAGTTATGGGACAATTTAATACATAGTGGCTCTGAAAGGCTGAAAAAAAAGGTGGAGGTTATTCCCAAATCCAGTGCAAAGAAACTCCTACAGTGACTTTTTCTTACGAGGCCCTCCTTTCGCGAAGTTTGAGTCTTGACACACTATGACTGTCAAATGATCCCAAGCGGTAGTTACCCCTTCAACCTTATGGGTGTCATGCGGGTCAATGCTTTGAACAGTGAGCTGAGATGTGACTGACTGTTGATATAGACCGTCTTCTCTTTGATAACAAAGTAGAAAAGCTTGAACTTCGTTTCCAAAATTCTCAAATATCAGTTCTTGAGCGCTGCTTCAAGCGACGGTCATGCACAAAATCAGTTCTTTCTACATTCTATTTGCTTATCAGTGTTGGCGTGTGTGATATGATTTGCAAAGCTTATGATCTGTAATGTAACGCAGAACGTTGAGCAAAGCTCAATGACAACTCAAGAGAAGATAAAACAATAACAATGGAACAACAATGATGTCTTGGACTAAGCTGATCATATAACATTCCGAGCTCAATGTTAGACTGATATCAAATGCTCTCTTGCTTTCCGTATAGAATTCTGTCGACAACATCAGCACCCATGGTAAAACTATGGTCTTGATTAGCAACTTCATAACGCCAGCTGCCAAACCTGGAATGCCATGATGACGGACTAGCCCATGAATTACAAACTTTTTCGGAATTTTTTATAATATAATAATTTGAATCTTACTTTACTGACTGATGAGCGGGTTGGTACTTTTTGTTGTCTTTTATCCTCTTTGAAGACACTTGTTTTTCAATCTCAAACTGGCGCAGAGAGCTTGACAATGGTACTTGTAGTTAATTCGATTGAGCGAACTTCCGCACTTGATATCATTTCTTTATTTTTTTGACGCTTGCGACTTCGTCAGAGCCTGGAAGCCGAAATCATACGAACTTATTCGCCTAGGCGTCAACAAAAGAGCATATAATGAGGTTGATAACTACGTATAGCATACAATCACCACATTTACCAAATGGGTAAACCATGCAGTTTGGAGTAATATATATACGGTTATGAGCTCGATTGCGAATTAATTACACCTTGAGATTAGCAGTGAGAATGTCGATCACTACAACACCGTGCAAATCCGCTCAATGTACTCATTGCCGCACTGTCCTGCTCAATTCATCGGAAATGGATGGCAGACAGAAGGGGCTTCCAAGCCCTGACGAAGGCGAAAGCGCCGAAACGCCAAAAAGAACCGATATCAATCCTGGAAGTTTGCTCAATCAAACCAAGAACGAGTATATACCATGCCAAGACCAACCAGACAGTCGAACGTGCAAAATTCTGTATCAGCCTGAGGATGAATATGCTATTGTCGATTCGTTGACCGCAGGGACTGCTCAAACCCTGCGGGCCAACCCAGCGCGACTGAATTGTGAGAGCACGACTTGTACAATAACGAATTTGTACTGGGGCAAGCGTTTTATCCCGCGGCGCCAGCTCCGCAGTGATGTGCAGTCCGTGCGGTCAACGAATCAACTATACATTCCAAAGTATTTAGCCTAATCTGATTATTTATTCAGGAAAAGTCTGAGATTTCTGCGTTGTAATGCGCGAACGTAGCAAATTTCTCAAAACGATTCTTTGGAAGATTGAATTGATCTTGAGGGACCCGGATAATTGACATTGATAGTAATCGTGCTGATCAAATTTCCAAAGCTCATGTGTTTTCGCTGCAGTCGAATGTTTGCGGGATCCACGAAAAATAACTTCAATAACCACTTTTGCAGACACCAAGTAGGAGATCGCTAGACCTACTAAAGAGAGCACATAGCCATCATTCTAGCCAGTCTATTTATCTTGTAACTAATTTTTATGAAGGTATAATATGCACATTTCAAAAGGACAAGCGTGAATAGTTTTGGCAAACAGTTACTATTTGAGATTTGAAAAAAAGGGAGGTAAATATTAGGGAAAATCGAACAGTGTTGTAGGTTGAAAAAAGCTATCGATTCCTTTATACAGCAATGCTATCACCATTTTTTGCATGCTGGCTTCAAGATGTTCCCATCCCAAGTATAGAGTTTACGAAATAAACTTTCTAATAACTAAGTTTACTTTTCAAAATTAACCCTTTTCATGCCCAATTCGATAATTCATGCATTTTAACGCTATGTATAATTAAGCGACACTGTCTCTTACCTTCCTCGTGAATAGATATGCTCTTTTTCTAATTTATGATGGACTGATCGCAACATCTCATCTCGATTCAGCGTTGGTATAGGATAACCGTATGGCAGCACGTGTATCCATCTTGATTCAATCCTGCTGGTGGGATAGATGATACCGTGCTCCATTAGATCTACAAGTAATGTTTGGTAGGTGTTTCTACATTTCCACCAACCTTAGATTCAGAGTTGTCATATGCCAGCGCCGTGCCAGCGCCGTTCCACCGCCGTACCAGCACGGCGATAGCACAGCGGTGGAACGGCGCTGGCACGGTCAGCACGGACAACTGCAGCTTCACCTTTTATAGTTCGTTCAATGACAGCCTCTTCATGGACCTGCTCATCAACAGCCATGCCAATCTCGACTAGCACTGACCAGAAAAGGACAGCATTCGGTGTGAGTCTCTCATTAAAATTCGATAAGAAGGTGCACCTTAAAAAATGGTGCTAAAATTTTTTCTTAAAGGGAAAGGCATCACATGCCTATAAAAAATTATATCCGGTTGAGGAAAGTAAAGCCACGATAATTGCTCTGTGAATTCCGGCTGCGGTCGTCGCATTCCTATGCCAACAAGGACAACCTGAATTGTAATTTCAATACAGAACTCACATGTACCTTGTGAAAAAGTCAGTAGATTTGAAAAAAGCAGCTCAAGATTTTTGCTCGCCTTAGAATGCCGGAGATCAATTTTGGGACAAAGTCCGCATAGCTGTCCCAATTCCACAATGGGCATTGTTGAGATCAAGTAATCGTAAGTAGCAGTGCCACCACTTCTCAAAGTAACCTGAAACTTTTCCAAAATTTTACCAAACTTAATGGCTAGGGAGATACAGTGTTTTATACCAAGGTGGTGTCGGATGGGTTTTTTTTGCGAAGGAAAACTTTCTCAGATGGGAGAACGAGGTTAACGCTTCCATTATAAACGCTAACGTCGTACTTTCTTTGCAATCCTTCCCCCCCCCCCCTCCCTGCCCTTCAAGAAGACCGCCACTGATTACGTTGTCATTCTTAGTAGAAAATGGAATTTAGAGGTAGAAAATTGATTAAAATTGTGCTTTACCATCAATAACCATGGGACTAGAGTCAGCATCACCGAAAGCCAATTAGAAGATGGGGAAGAGAACAACTAGTTTAGTAATTATTGGAAAGAAACAACGTAGAAATAGTTTTGAACTTTTCCAGATTTTTCATTTTCAGATACGACATTGTCTCATAATTAATGCACTTTATCTAATAGTAAGTCCTTTTTGAAAAAAGCGCACAATCACGATGAATCGATTTTCTCCAGAACCCACCCTTAATTCCAAAAGCCCGATTCTTAGCTTTTAATATGTGCTTTAATTTCCGCAAATCTTCTTTTAAACCGGAGTTCATGCCTCAGAGATAAATGAAAACGTAAATATCTTTCGTTTTATTCTCCTTGCATCAAGCAATGAGACATAGGCCCGTAGTAAACCACCATCAGGGCATTTCTCTTGAGGCGGACCGGAGGTGATCTCATCGCGCCTCAGCACATTGCCAGGGAGCGATTGATTTCGAATAGATCACTTACCGGACGATCGCGTCTTCAACGGTGGAACGTTTCTGTCTTTTGTGCGTTACTAGTCGAATGGATAAGACTAATGCCTTTCAAGCGGCATAGCTGTGGTTCGAGTTCGGCATGCGGCACAGTTTTTGCTACTTGGCCTGGCGACCTTTGATAGCGGCCGTTATCGAAGAAATCGATGATAGCCGCTATCAGAGATTTCACTCAGCGAACAACGGGATAAAACAAATACGAAGTATTTTGGAATTCATACCAGGAAAAATTACACTTGGCGAGGAATGAGTAAAAAGTAAATTCACCCTCTTGTTATCTAAAGCTTTTTTTTTCAAGAAAAACAAGCAACAACTGTAAGAAAAAAAGCAAAAAACCTTTTTTTACCAATTTCGTCGCGCAATCAGCTGTTCATCGATCCTCACTCACTTGGGCGCCGGAAATTGTGCAGTTTTGGGAGTTTCGCACCGCAAAAGAACGTGAGCTGCGATGTTTCGTAAGTTACTCGGGAGCAACTTACGGCGATTTTCACTGTGCTCTCCTCTTTGGCACAGTATTTGCCTTATCTCGTCGCCCGGCTCATCTCCGATGGCTCGGTCGGGAGCTGATCTCCCTGCCGGGCTTCGTCTGAAGCTCACCTGTAGGGTGACCTTGCATACTTACACCACGGAAAGGTGGGCAGTTCTCATCTTACCCGACAAACCCTCATATGAGGGTCTCAGGGGAGATCATCTCCGGTGACCGAGCTTTACTACGGGCCATAGTCGGATTTTTTTTCAGTAAATAGGTATAATTATCGCGAATTTTGTGCTACAGAATGCTTATCAATATTAAATTTTTGAAAAATTCTGAGCGGAGAGGTTTTGACTCAAATAGTCATTTTACAACTTTAGCTTTGTACACCCAGAGTAGACCCAGGCAACAAATGATATCAAGCGGCAAAATTTTCTTGTCACTTGTAAAAAAATTAAGAATTACAAGAAAAGCAGTTTTTCGGAATTTTCGAAATGCTAAAAGAGGGTACTCTCAATTTTTTCGCAGAAAAATCTTGAAATCCAAAATTTACTCCACGGCACAACCGACCATCGGCTCGGCTATCTAATGAGCAAAGTTCGCGCGATTCTGGTACAATCAAGAGCAAGTCAAGCTCTTTCATGATACAGGTTTGTAGAAAAATTTGAAATTTTTTGGACAGGAAAATTCTTCTTGGAGTGGCTACGATCCAACAAAGGCATACGATGTATAAACAAAAGTTTGCCGTTTGCGATAGTTTTCATGCGCTCTCAAAAAGATGATTTTGGAAAAGAATCATATTGATTAACCTTTGATTCAACTGGATTGGCGGCTGGAAGCCTGCTACGCTGTCTGCGGTCTCTCTCGCGCACTGCTTTCTGATCATCTTCTAGGCTTAACTGGGTCACGGAGCCCGGCCTTCCAGCCGTCAATCCAGTTAAATCAAAGTGTATCACCTCTTTTCCCTCTGGATCTATTCTTATGACAGGGTCTCCAAGGCGAAACCAATGCTCTGGCATTTCTGAAGCAATAGCTCTCCACAGCTCTCCAATCCCTCGAAGATCGGTCGGATACCTTCAAAGAAAAACTTCAATGATGATTACCCCCCCCCCCCCTCTCCCGTGTCCAACTACCTGAACATCGATTTGGTCTTCGATTCTTCCTCGGCATCCAGTTCCTCTCTAGTGAGACGGCATCGCCTCTTGAGATCATCGATACAAGTGCGAGGCACACGGTTTTCTACCCAGACACAATTCATTTCCGACATTGGCACAGTCCACACCTAAGTGTCTGCGCATATTACTGTCCTTTATGTTTTTAGTGTCTTATTCACCTTTTCGTTGTAAGGTCTAATGAATATTTCTTGAAGGGTTGGGCCAAAAGTGTGCAGAGTGAACTCGTCAAAGTTCTTTGCTGATTCTTTGACTGTCGAGGCTGATGAAATTTCTTCCAAACACTGTAGTTTGATTTCTTCTGGGAAATAAGGTATCGAGTCTTGTACCGGGTATGGGACATAGTTGATTTCTACATTGTCGTCATCTTCCACAATATGTCTCATATAAGCCTATAAGAAGGTTCTCGAGTGGATAATTACAGTGACCCAAACGATAGTGAGCGGACCTTACCTTGACACATCTTGGTACATTATTCCAATGACTTACTGCGCGATTGATCACATTTGTAAACTTCTGATATTTTGAATAACCTAGAAGTCAAAAAACAACTGGAAGGGGTCGATGACCATTATGAATTTTTGATTTGAAACCTGTGACGTGCACTCCAAGATCCCAAGTGAAACCTCGACGGTCGGTCACGGAACGAGCCAAACCTCCAACCTCGTCTTCCTTTTCGACCACAAGCACCTCAACTTATTATCGTACTATTTATACAAAATTGCCATTTTCAGCTTTACTGATTTTAAAAGTTGTTTTTTTATGGATAGTGCTAACCCTTCAAAATAAAAAATAGGAAAAAACTAGAAAAATGATGTTTTTCGTGTTTTAGAGGTGTTGTTTGTTTCCGATTCGAACACCGGACTTCGCAAAAAAATTTGACATCACTGCATCACAATTTACAAAACTTCAGGGTAACCTTTTGAAGATAGGTCCATTTGCATTCATGCTGATAAAGGGAAGAATCCCTCAGAACTAAAAAAAAGGAAAAATACAATATTTTTAGTTGTTCTTCAGGTAGGTGTCTTACAGTAACGACTAGCTTTTCAAAAATAGTAAAAAATGCCAAATCAAAAATTCAAGCTTCTCACTTTTACCCCAAAGAAAATTTAGCTGTCAAATTCGGGCTCTTGGTTGTTAACGTCGTCATATTAGATTGTTGCCCTTAGCAAGCAAGCAGCATCGGCGTTTCAATAAAACTTTGCTCACGTCTCATCAAGATGACAATATTGAAGATGTGTTTCTCAGCAATTGATTCACATTCACGAGAAAACGCCTTTTCACCCTAATTATAACGTTTTATGTGTCATATGTGTGATGGCCTACCGCAGAGCTCTTTCATCGTTCTTATTGCTAGTGTCTTTTGAAAAATTGAAATTCAAAGATTTTTCTCTTCATTTTTCAGATCCTAAAGTCATCCACAAAGTAATGAACAATTGTAGGCTAGGCAAAGTCTGGATTATGTTTTTTCATGTTCCAAAAATCGCAGTTAGATTTACTCAGATTTTCTCAGCTTTGAGAAGAAGACTTTTGATAAAAATTGAATTGTTAAAAGTATGTAGATATGGGGACAGAAGCACAATCGAATAAATCGAACGAGCATTACTAGACGTTCTCTCTTCTCTGAAGACAAGTGGTTTATAAAATTTAAAGCAATATTTGACAGCACACAACTTTCATGAAATCAGAAAGCTTCCTGACTAAAACTGGAGGAAAATTTAGCGTTTTTTTAGGTTGACAGAGGCTTATCGGAGTCAAGCTTCTTTATACTCTATGAAAGTGCTTTTTTCACCATGGTTCTTTTACAGAAAATTTCGTGTTTTGAAATTCCACTGATGATTTCTGCGACTTTCGAAACGAATAAGTTATCCTCTGCAGAATGAGACATTAGTTTGATTATCCGTTTATATCTCAGGAGGATTTTCTCGATCTGAAGCTTAGAAAAGGCATAATCCAAGTGTAAAAGATATATCTGGACCTGAATGCCACCACTTGCACAATAACACTTGCCTATTCAAATTTGAAGTCACAAAAAAGTGTCGCAAAAGAAAATATGTAAAAAAGGTTTTGTTAGCTGGGTTGTAAGAAAATGTCTTCTATCATTCTGGCTTCAGCAAAATTCGTTCCAATAAATTTATTGGATTCAATTTTAGAAATTTTCTTCTTGCCTAGAGCTCATGCAGAATTCTTGCAGAATGAGTTGTATGATTCAAATAACTTGTTTTCCTAGTGTTGAAAAGGGAAAGGTGCAATCTAGAGTAATAAAACCGAAAGTGCATTTAGGTCAAGATTACAATGTTAATACCGAAATGGATGAGAAAACAAGAATATCAATGAAAGTGGGGTCGAAATGCTTACCATTACGAGTAGAATTCATTAACATAACGACTTAGTTTCTGAAAGTTTTCGAACTAAATTTTCTTTATGATTTGGCTTAAGTTTTATTGTTTCTATCGATTCTCGATGCGTTCCCAGAACTTTTATGGACAAGTCGGCTAAGACGCTAATGACATCTAGCAATACCTGTTATGAAGAATAAGGAAAAGAAATAAGTTCGCTGGTTTAATTCCATGTTTTTTATTATTGAAGAATCAGCGCAACATGATTTTTCTTCAGTAAGATTTTTTTTGCAATATAACAGTCCTTACTTCTGTCGATTTCGGTATTTCTCCGTTCTCAATCAGTTCATTCAACCGATATGCAGCTCCGAGTGCAGTTGGACCACTGCCAATAATTACAAACTTCTTTGGCAGATCGTTGTTCATCACGCCATGTGTCCTATAGAAATAATTATTTCATACTATGTGCTGTTCACTACTACGATAGTTTTTACAATAGTTTTACAAGAAAGGAAAACTCTTGCAAGGAAAGATTAATTTATCCGAGTATAATCCGATCGCTTCCAAAACTTCACCATTTGCACGCCAATATTTCAAATTCTACAAAAATATGTAACAAGGAAGAGCAACTAGGGATTATTTGGAAAATAGGATTAAAAGGCCAAAGTTTTGCACAAAAACACCATGTAATCCCTTATGAAAAACTATATAACAAATAGAGGTTGAGAGTTCTACCCTGACTTTGCTTTTGCTATTGTATCTACTAAATCGGCTTCCAGAGTTTCGAAAGCTACTCGATTTTGCAGAATTTTTTTCTGTGGTTTTTTACTCTCATAAATCATGACAGCTGTATTTGGTGCAGCAAATGGTATTATACATTTTATTTGACAAATTAACTTCATTGTGATAAAATCTACAAAGAGAACAAGAAGACTGAAGATCATCACTTTCAAAAAGGTTCAACGCAAATCCTTTCAGTCTGTAGGCGTAAGTCACAAATCAAAATAACTAACTGGGTTTTGTCTGAATTTTTTTTCAACGGCCGGAAACACTAAAAAAGCGATTCCAAGTGCTTCTCTTCATCAGCTTACATCCGCGCATTTTTCAATAATATTTTTAATTTTAGCGTAGCTGGTAAATTAAGTAATGTTTCATGTATTTTGAACAAGACAAGTTTATCAAAAATGTCAAAAGTTTCAGAAGTTCTAAAATTTGATAAAAGATTATGGAACAGCGTAACAATTAACGAATCGCATTTTGCATTTTGTTAAATGCTTAAATTTGCAGGAAGTAGAAGAGTAAAACTATCTTCAGAGAATTGTCTCACTTAAAGTGTTTGGAGGAATTACAAAGTGAGGAAAATTAGAAGTTTCGAAATAATCTCGTGACCCGACAAAAACATTCAGAGGTATGCAATGCGGGCCGCAGGACCAGGTTTGGTCAGAGGTAAATAGTAAAATACTAAAAATGAGATTAATGCAAATTTGAGCAATCACGCTGTATTTCAAAAAATTATTTAGCACTTTTCTTGCTTTTTTCGATGAAGCAAAAATCATTGCCAGAAGAAAAAATGATATGCATTGAAGCCTGGAATGCTTAGAGTTGGGGCGATACCTGTTAGGAAAGTAGTGATTATACGTAGCAAAATAAATGGAGAATGTAAGGATTTACCTGTTTGGGACTAACGTAAGCTAAACTAGGAGATATCCACCTAGGACAGTATTACTAGTAAACTGCAAAAGACAGGGGGACAAGGTCATCGACGTGCGCGGTGGCCGCGCGCCGATGACGTATCTGTTGCGTTCGATCGTGAATTGATATGGTCGATTACCTTGGCGCTAAGTTTTTGCCGAATTCCTTTCATAAACTCAACTCACGCACAAAACGCGCATTTTCTTTTGCTTTTATATGGAAACTTTCGACTTGTCAGCAGAAAAAGTGGATTATCAAGCCTGATCGCATTTGCGCTTATACATTTCGGTGGTTCCTTGCTTTACTTGTGGAACTGCACACCAAGCACGTCATCCCACGACATGTGCACATAAAGAGTGCCAATTTCTGAAGAAACACTCCCAACCTCTCCTTTTTTGATCTAGTGTAGGTACACATAAGCCATCTCTTGGGTTCTTGTTTCAGCATAATTGTTTTTGACATACAAAAAGGTCGTGAACTAGCGAGGATGTGGTGCAAACTCACATTCAAGCTTCGTGATATTTGCTTAAAATATCTGCTCTGAAACACTTCTTTTCCGTCATTGCTCCTTCCAGTAAATTTGTCTGCGCAACCCTAACAAAAGACATCAATTGAAGAAAGAACGAAGTAGTGACATTATGACATATTTAAATTCAAGAAGTTATTGTGGACATTAGTGTGTGACCACTCCTTTACTTTTTGTACCTTTCCATTGTCTCCTTCCGAACGGGTTCGTGTTTTCTAATGTTCTCTTCATGTTCTCTTTACGATGATAGTTTTAGTTTTACTGTGCTTCTTAATCAAGACAATAGTATATTATCCACATTTTTTACTCATCTCGACCTCAAATCTTATTTAGAGTTTCTTTTCTGGATTTGTGAAGAAATACGTTTTTTGAGTACTTTTATGTCAGTTCTTAAAGAAATACAGACCTGAGTACAAAGGAGATCAAAGTAAAAACTGCAGATGGTACATCTCGGTGATACATGATGGAAACAAAAAATTAAATCTTGAATAGAAGAAAGAAATCGCAAGAAACATTTCAGATTCTTGATTTGACTTGTAAAGTGTTGATTAGAATAAAAACATGTGTAATAAACTGTACAACGTATGTCATATTTGAAAAAAATGCAAAATTTTCAAATGTGAGAATTTCTGTAATTTATGCGAGCTTTTGAAACTTCTTTTTCGAGATCCCAGAATTTGTGCAAGAGTTTTGAGCCATCCTTTTTTCCCTTGCATACTTAAATTTTTCCCTGCTTACTAAGCGTCTTAAAGCTTTATATTTCTAGTGTCAATTCATGAAAATATCTTGTTTACCTTTTTTCATTTCTTTGATTACCTGGATGCGCTGCTCTCTGGCTTGGCACACCGGAAATTTACCTACCATATCAACAAAAGGTATTTGCATAAGGATGGCATACACTGAACAAGTTTTTTCGCCCCTTTGTAAACAAGCATGAATCTACTTATTCGTCGCCGATTGAGGCACTGATGAAGTTCGGCGGCCAACCAGAAACTCCACTCTTTCTAACTTTTGTGGAACGATTTTCTTTGCCGAACTCAAATTGCAAATTGGTCGTTTTCGCATGACTTGCCCTTTTGTTTCTAGAAATTCCTACATTAAGTTTTTATCGAGAAAACAGATGAAATCAATTTTGAACCCTATGTACTGCGCCATCCCTGGAATGTTGTCTTTTTTTAGAACAGCAAGCCGTTTGACTATCATCGACTTAATTCTTCTTCCTCTTTCTAAAACTACACCTATTCTGTGGCCTCTGCGATACTATGGAAGCTTATAAGTTCAAAATTATAATTACGGAAACGCCCAGGGGCGCCCAAAAACTCGCCTCCCCCCTCCTGCCGAGAATGGATCGCGAAATTTTTGAAAGTTACCCACATGAGTTATAGAGATGTGCAAGTGACTTGTTTTTACTTGTAAATAATTGAAATAAGCCTCATGAAAAACTTTTTTCGGGGGCGTGGCGTCATTCACGCCCCTTTTTTCAAAAAATTTCGGGGTTACGGCCTCGCAAAAATTTTAGGAAGCATACCGAAAATTTTTTCGGCATCAGCCACGCACCTTCATTAGAATAAAATTTTTGTGTCCTCCCCCCCCCCCCACCGAACGGAAATCTCGGTTACGCCAGTGGTTGTCAGCAAGGTTACCGCACTGCAAGGCCCACCCCCCCTCCTCTTTTATGTTATGGATGACTTATCCTGGATATCCACTTCGATACCGCACCCTCGTGATCCTGAGGTGGAAGTGACATTTATGCTTTTTTTGAATGATTATGGGAAGATGCTTTGTTGACGAATAATAAATCGATAGAAGAACCCAACGAATCGCAAGAATAGCCTTCCATCTGAGCAGAGGTAGATAACATGTACAAGGTGGTCCACATGAAGTGTGACACAACAAAAAAAATATTATAACTTTGCAACTGAATGAAATCAGAAGCTTTTGTCCTCACCTGATAGAGAAGAGAATTCTGTATAAGAATTTCAAATTAACGTTCGAGATATTTGTCCCTGCTTTTTTAAAAATCGTTCTTTCTCCTTCAAACCTCTTTCAAAAATTCTTCGATTTGCGCGCGATGGTGTTGCTTTCTGCTCCCAAGCTCTCACCGGGTGCCAAACGTCATTTTTTTTTTCCAGTGTCCAAACGATGGATTTTACACAACTTCAATTTCTTCTTTTCGCTGTAAATTGGTATCTAGTCATGCTAAAAATTCTCAAAAGCGTCTAAGGAATTTCCTTTGATCCAAGAAAGTGCCACAGCCCTTCAGAGTTTGCTTTCAATGCTTCTTCCAAAATTTCGAAAGACTGCGATTTTTGTTGTCATGGCGACTGCCTTTAATAAATCTTCAAGCTTGACCATGTTTTAGTAAGAATCGAAGTCGGGAACAAGCACAACGGGACAAAAGAAAATGGAGAAGACGAATATCTTTGAAACCTGGAATGAAATAGACCAAAAAATGGTTTTTTCGCAGTCCATCAAACTTCATATTTGCCACATACGAACAGACAGTTTTGGCCTTCCGAATCGAACATTCTTGAATCCACAAATTCTCCGCCTTTTCTATCTGTAAGCAAAGGGTCCGCTCTTCTAAACCCAGGCTATTAGATTTGTAAAGGAGACCTAGTGAGAGCCTGGGATGAAATTTCTGCCAAAAACCATTGCGCGCATTTTGATTTCTCCTAGCACAATAAATTCTGTCATTAAAGTCGAAGATGGACTTCTTCGAAGCAATCTATGAGGACTTATACAGAATTTTCTTGCCTTTCAGATGGAAACGGAAGCTTTTAATTTCATTGAGTATTAGCAAAGTTACGAAACTTTTTGTGCGTCACATTTCATGTGGACCACCCTGTATGTGCGAAGTTTCAGCTCAATTGGTTGAGTGCCGCTCGTTTTTGTAACGCACATACTCTCTAAACTGACAATTTTGAGTTTTTTTTTCATATATAGATTTGAGGAGAATTGCCTTATATGCACTCATAATGCGTGACGCAAGAAGAGGGCGAAACTTACATGGGAAACCAATGATTAGAGGCCGGAAAAGTACTGCCCCTCAAAAAAAAAACGGTAACGATGATGCACAGTACACTCAAGCATGGTTTTGTTAGGATTCATCGATGACCACAGTTGAATAAGTTCAATGTGTAAAGCATAGTGCATGGCTGTTTCTGCAAATTATTAGGGTGGTTCCGGAAGTAATGTCGCTTTTTAAATGAACGTCACATTTCGGAACTGGGATTCGAAATATCAGATCTCGAATTTTTCGGGTACAGAAGCGTTGAAACATGAATTATGATGATTTTATCTTTAAAGACTCATAAAAAGCATAGGTCGCAGATTTTAGTGATTTTCCGAGGGCTCATGGAGTGCTGTAATCTATATATATATATATAAAACTCAATGTCTGTGAGGATGTTCGTTTAGTTGTTCGTTCGTTATAGAAACGCGCGCCACTGAACCGATCCGGCTGAAACTTCGCACACGTATGTTTTCGACCCCGGCGGTGGTTTAGAGCTACTTTTCGCGGCGATTCGCCGGGCCATTCTATCGATTTATTGATTTGTTTCTTCAAACCTAAGAAAATGAGGGCCATCATGGCAACCGATCATTTTTACATATAAGCATGTAAGCAGGGGCGGTAAAGTCCGTTTCAGTCTTGAAGTCGGTAGGGTGCGGTAATTAGTCTGAAAGCGCTTTATGCGCATGTTAGAAGAAATCTAGAGGCGTAAGTTTACAAGTTCTGCTGGCTTAACTGACTTAAAGTCTCGGGTAAGACCGGGGCAACCAGCTAGTGAGCTATAAAAAAACCATCAAAAAGAAGATGCAATGCTACATGGTCTTCTACCATGATCTTACATGAAATATGGCGTTTGTTTGAAAAGAAAAAGACATTATCGTCCGTACAAAATATTACATTCATCTTAACATAAGACTTATAACGAGAAAACCTGTCTAAGCGAGAAAATTATGATCAACAGAATGACCAAGAACGCTTGATGAAAGTCCTTCTGCTTTATTAGCAAAAGCCAATGCTGTTAGATTCTGGAATTCAGCAAGAATTGAGCCAAATAATAAACTGAGCACTTGTTTTGTCTATACTTAGTTTGAAATCAAGTGACGTACAAAGTTTATGTAAAAGTTTATGTGATCACATCCTCTTCGGCGCCGACACAGGTGGCTTACAGGGCACGCTTGATATCGTGGGGGTGAGGAGCAGTAACGGTATCTTTTTGCAGAATTTGAAATGGACCTCTGGGAAAGAATGTTCTTGGTATGGTGTGACAAAAGAATCGCCCGCAAAATCGGAGTCTTGGAGTGCTAGAAAATTTCCCATTACCTTTCAATAGCATACAGCCATCTAGAAGGTTTTTATAAAGTAAATCGAGTAAAGGGAACATCGAGGAGTTCGTCAACTTCACGCGCATCAACCCAGCAAACTTTTGCATCTGTCTGCCTTACAAAAAACACTTTTCCTATCGCTGTTGTCACGTGAGTCTTACACATGCACACCCCCAACTTTTATCCCGATATTTGGCCGAGATTGTTATCTAAACACGGGAAAGCTGGACTATGTACGAAATATTATGAAAGAAGTAAGGTGAATTATTCGAGGTTATGTGACTTTTAAGCCACCAGGAGAGCCACCCAGTTTTGCTCAGAAAAAATAAAGTCGTAATATTTCTTCTCTCAGCATAAACTTTCACATTTCTCAAACAACTTCAACCCACATCCAAAACCTTGCAAACTAGTCTTTGAACCATCCCAAACCCCCATTCCCGTTTAATCATAGCCCTTTGAATACGAATAGCACCTGTCCAGCTTCAAGTGCGCAGTGATACGCGCCGGACACAGCATGCCGCCAATCCGGAAATCACTAGTTTTTTTAATCTTATGTTCGTTGTTTTTGTATTCTGTTATATTTCTCGTTGTTGTCAGACTTTAAATTATTTATATGAGTCATTAACGTATTTATTTTGCAAATCTATAAACAGTCGTTTCCAAAAAAGGCAAAGGCTATCTTCAGGACCTCTGAAAGTCACTGAACTTTTTGAAATAGTATACGGTTTTCTCAACCATTACTGTAAACAAAGTTCATTGTAAAACCCATGCTCGTAAAAGGAATTGCATAAGCTGCTAATGCGATAGAGCTCAAATGAAACCGTCGTTAGGTGTGATTGCAGTTTTGAAACCAGTATTTATCAAGCGCTAGGATGTGTTTCTAGGCGCTCACTTGAAGTTTACCAATTAACCTTAAAATCACTGAGTACTCTCAGCTCGTTTATAATGACAGCATTTTTTTCGCATCCTACTTCTCGCTTCCTAAATCACTTTCTGAATTTTCATTCCGATTTTTCCTACTTGTGCTTGACATCTACATCATTTTCGCATGACTCAGTTCAGTTCTTCAAGACAACGTGGATGAGTGTGCTCTTGATGAAACGGTTTGTTCCGTTACTATTTGCCAAATCGTGCTAAAAAAATGAAACCTGATCAAAATCGCGTAGTGACATCGGGAGTAGTCCGTGATGATTGTTTTAGCTGGTCTCAAAACTTCTAATGTTTGTTTTGGGAGTTGCCTCCGCTTACAAAAAGGTTCGAGAATGGCTGTGATGCGACGTTTTAAGTTGTTCGCTCTAAACTTTGAATAAATCATTTCACCATATTCCATTCATAATTAAAATCATAAATATAAACAGGTTTCGGGGAGCTATTTTGAGCGCGTCTCTTGTAAGCTCCTCCCCGCACTTCCTCTTCTTTTTAAATTCAACCGCGTCGTTGAAAAAAGTGTTAATGCTTTGAGTTATATCAACCTAAACTGTGTAAGCACACTATATTAAGCGAAAAATCTACTCGACTGTAAGTCTTTCCCAAAGCATTTCCTAAATGCA